TATGGGGGTTATAATCAATCACAAGCTAAATATGAGTCAACAGTGTAACACTGTTGCAACAAAAAGTGAACAACATTCTGGGATATACCAGCAGGAGTGTTGTAAACAAGACATGAGAAATAATTATTCTACTCTATTCCATATTGATAAGGCCTTAACTGGAGTATTGTGTCCAGTTCTGGGCAAGACATTTTAGGAAAGATGTGGACAACCTGGAGAAAGTTCAGAGGAGAACAACAAAAAATTATTAAAAATCTAGAAACCATGACCTATGAGGAAATATTGAAAAAAATGGGTTTGTTTAGTCTGGAGAAGAGAAGACCGGGGGGAGACATGATGACAGTTTTCAAGTTTATAAGTGGTTGTTACAACCAGGAGGGTGAAAAATTGTTGTTCTTATCCTCTAAGGATAGGACAAGAAGCAATGGGCTTAAATTACAGCAAGTGAGGTTTAGATTGGGCATTAGGAAAAACTTCCTGTCAGGGTACTTAAGCCTGGAACTAATTGCCTAGGGATGTTGTTGAATCTTAGTCATTGGAGGTTTTTAAGAACAGGTTAGACAAACACCTGTCAGGAATGGTCTAGTTATTGCTTAGCCCTGTCTTGGACAATATGACTGGACAATATGACCTATCAAGGTCCCTTCCAGTCCTACACTTATATGATTCTATTATTGGTATAAGTGCAGATAGGATTTCAATGATATCCTGAGGAGGATTTGGTTTGAAAAGACCCTTGCAGCTCACTAAGTAGCACTTAAATGAATCATCTAATGAAATCAATGGGATTACTCTTGTGAACTTGGAATATTCAGTGTACACAGGAGTTGCATAATCAAACCCAGATACAGAATAACTGAACAGTTACATTCTAGTAATCCTAAAATTTAAACAAAATGCATTTCATTAGGGGTTAAGGGAAAGCAGCAAACATTGCTTCCTAATATTTTAGTTTGACTAAAAAATGACTCAGCTGAAAGCTCTAAGTGGAACTATCTAAAAGTAGTGTAGTTAATAACTTATCCTTTCAGTTGAACCGACTGTACAGAACAGTATTTTATACGAGTTTGGTGGGAAATAAAAAGGAGTCTTGCAGTTTGTCTTTTATACCACTATCATTCTTGTCCTTTTTTCTCTTTCAAATAAAATAATTCTACTCTATGCGTTTCAGTGGGCTGAACCATCAAAATGTCACTATTAATGTCTTTCAAATGTTAGCTAATTCTTAAGGACAGGAGTTGGAAAACAGTATTCTCCTAAAACTCAGCATCCTTCAAGCTGAAACTCGTTACTATTGTATGAGTCAGCTTAGGATAAAGAAAAAGGAAAGTGAAGTTTTAGAAGAAGGAAACAAAAGAGTATCCCCCTTCCTTTAAGTAGAAGAAATGATTTTGATGTTTTAAAGGCTGTTTTGGCTTGAGTAACATTTTTGGTAAGAACAAAACCTCCAAATCCCTCCCTCCCTCCCCAAATACAAAATTAGTAACAAGGTTTTGAGTAACTTTTGCTGATGAATCTTGGTGCCTGTAACAGGGTGCCCACTTGGCTCCTGCCCCTGTTGGGCTGATAAAGTCACTCGGAGACCCTAGGTTCAGTAACCACCGGTGCAGTTTATTTACAGGTTGCGCTCCCTCCACCTTTTCACCATGCAAGTAGCCCTTTACCATCAGGAAGGGGAGCGCTACCTCCCTGCTTCCACTCCCTGCCTTTTCCCTTTCTTCCTGCTCCCCTCCCCACAAGCATCCTTCTCCTGAGGCTTTTATACAACCCCAGACTAATTAGGCAGCAGCTGTCCTTGCTTTCCCAATTAGGGTCAGGTGGTCTAACCAGCTCCAATTCACCTCCCTTAATTGGAGCTGGAGTGACAGAGGGCTGGCTCAGCAGTTCCTGCTCATTGCCCTGTCACAGTACCCAATTCTGCACCAAAACTCCTTTTGATTTCAGTGGGAATTCTGGATGTGTAAGGAATGCACAATTCTATCACAAGATTGTTATTTTGGACTACTTAGCAAAGTCATACTTAGACAATCAGTAGGTGTCCCAAGGCTTTGGGGACAGAACCACCACTTCAATAGCTAGTAAGAGTGTATTCACTGTCAGTGGCTGCCAGACATCATGGTGGTAGAGGGTCCAATTACTGGCTGATACGCTGATGGTCCTTTTTATATATATATATTCTGTTGCGCTATTTCTGACTAGCTCATCTGACAACCCTTGCTGATGCTTCACACCCAGTTGGGACTGGATAAAGGATTTGTCCTAGAAATTTGTCTGTACTGTTTCACAAGAGCTATTGTACATATTTAGTAGAATGCTGTCTCTTGTTATTTATTGGCGGTATTTAAAAGCTTTCTTTAATTTGTGCCAAATGCCTATTGTGGGGAAAGATGGATACAGTATGCCAGACAACACGCTTTGGAGCTTGCAGCTCATGGATCCTGATAATATACAACATTGTATGTTTTGCCATAATTTTATTGCTATGTAATGACAAACACCATAATTAGGTTAATGGTATCTACACCCTGTAATATCCTCAAAACATGCATCGTTAATTGAAAAAAGTGGAAATAACTGGTTCTGTATTAAGAGCATTTTTCCTCAGAATAAGTGAATATTTTATGTATTAAATATGTGCTGGAACACAGTGGTATAATCTCTCCTTCTAGATGATTTGAATTTTCTTCTCAGACATATGGTTGCCTTTGCACTCTAGAATAACATATTCTCTCTCCTTCCTTCAGCCTCATGGATATCAAAGCAGAGACTGTAATATACCTATTTTAAGAATAACTTTGTACTCAGGATACTGTGTAACTGACAATATTTATTTTTTGCTGGCTGCACAGTATCCACATTTTAGACCTTACTTTAACACAAAACAAATTTAAAAATATAAAATTTTATTAAAATTAAATATTTCAATAATTTTATTTTATTTGTTTTCCAAACTGAAATCAGAATGTGTTTTCTGCTTGAATAGAAGATAGTTGTCAAGCATGAAGTGAGCATTATTTCCTTTCTTCTAGGAATTCTAAGTTAAATGTATGTGAAAGCAGAGATACATTTCAGAAAACTATAGAACCGATCCTGTCACAATACACTAAGCTAACTGGAATATTTAAATAAGGAACAGGGACACATCTCCATGCCTGGAATATAAACTAGACATGGGAACAGAATTACTTGTGTCTTATGTTTTAGCTTGTCCTGATTCCTGGAGCTATTCTTTTAAGTTCTAAAGTACAGAACTTTTTGTTGATCATAACTTACAAATGATTCTGCTGTGTTTTTCTTGTAGTTCCTTGCCAACATGTTTTAATCATGTTTAAGACATTGACATCTGCCCTAAAGATCACTTCCAGTAAGCAACTCCCTATCTTAAGGGGTGCTTTAAAGAATCTCCATAGTTTACAGTATACTATTGTTTGACCTGTAGTTAGAGTCCATTTACAGACATCCAATTCTTTTAGTTGTTGCTTTAGCCAGGTTTTGCTATAGAATCATGGTCCCCTTTCTAGGGGATCTCTTTGAACGGTAAAAGGCAACTGTACTTTTTTCCCTCAGTGTCTAAATCTACTGAGTTTGTAAACTGGTTATTGGGTTGTTTTTTATTAATCTTAGTTTTATATACAGCAAGACTGCACCTGGGAAAACTAAGATAAAAGTGCAAATAGAACTTACTTTGAAAATTTGGCTTACTAAATATATTTTAATGTGCAAATTGTAGCAGTTTATTGGCTTAAATTATTGAAATAGGACACACTTATTTTGCAGTAAGAGTGCCCACCCACCCAGAGGCTTGCAACAAAATAATGAATTACAATGGATTTCATTCTTTTAGTTCCAGTTTTTGTGTGGACAACCCCTTAAAACCTTTTCTTCGTTAGGAAAAAAGATTGGATTTTTATCACGTTTGCTAACAGATGGTTAAATCCGAGTGTGGACGAAACACTATCATTTTAACATAGGTTACCAGTGTAGCTTTAATAGTGTTTGCCTTGATCTGATAACCTCTGTTAAAACAATAACTGCCTTGTCCACACTAGGATTTTATCGCATGATACCGAGTGTTAGCTAGTGTGGTTAAGAAACAACAACGACATAAAAAAAAACCTTTTTTTTCTAGTGTGGATGCATCCTTAGTCGTCATTCTCCCTCAGCTCACACACCACTGCTATCTATACTTATTCACCATTTATTCTGAGGTATCAGTTCTTCCCTACCAGTTCAACATTTCTTCCCGTCTCCAACCACCAAATTCATTTGTTTGAATGCAGATACTTACAAAATACTCATCTTCATATGAATGTGGATTACTTGATCTGGCAGAGGCCCATCCCTGGTACACATTGTCCAGGTAGCATGGGTTCAACTGCTTACTAGATGTGTCAAATAGGATGTCTTTTTGCCTGTCTCTAGCAGCATGAAACTAAATGATATGTTGATCCACATAAAATGTACAGAAATATCTATGTTGATGAAAGCAACAAAGAGTCCTGTGGCGCCTTATAGACTAACAGACGTATTGGAGCATAAGCTTTCGTGGGTGAATGCTCCACTACGTCTGTTAGTCTATAAGGTGCCACAGGACTCTTTGTCGCTTTTTACAGATCCAGACTAACACGGCTACCCCTCTGATATGTTGATGAAAACTTCTCTCCCTTCTCATTCCCTGGGACCCCTTCCAGCTTTCTCCTGCAGCCCTCCACACCCCACATGACACCATTTCTCCCAACTGCGGTGGCTCCTAGCCCAGCTTTTCCTCTAATCTAGTATTTCCCAAAGTATTTAGATAGGTATTCACCTAGCAAGGAAATATATCCAGAATCTCTCAAATCAAAACAAAATGGATTTGTCAAATCTCATATAAATATGAAATAAATAATGAAATAGCCAATTTGTAAATGTCAGTTTTATAGCTTAAATACACTGTGTATGAGGTATCTGCAAACACAGAAAATAGGGTGAAAGTTATTGTTTTGTTTGTTTTGAATTAGGCCCATGCACAGTTAGTTCGAGAAGTTGATATAGAGAAGGTATCAGCATTTGAGAATCCCTACGTAGATGCAATAAAGAGTTTATGGAATGACCCTGGGATCCAAGAGTGTTATGACAGACGGCGGGAATATCAGCTATCGGACTCAACTAAATAGTAAGTATACATGGATATGGATAATTGGATATTTCTTTTTTATTTTATTTTTTTGTACTTTCTAATTTAAAATAAAATTCTGGTTATATTTTAGAGTGGCTCATAAGGTGTGTGTCTACATGTACCCACAATATAAGCATGTGTAGGCACATACAATGTATATATACACCAGCACATGCTTTGTATGTTGAATTACAAAGGCTAAAGTTAGAGGGGGTGGATCTCATTTACTGCTAGTACTGTAGTGTAGTTTTCCGAAAACAAGCATCCATTATAACATAAAAAGCTGTGATAAGAGTTGTTAATAGAAATCTTTTACCATTATAATGATTAGTTTTTATTTATTGTATTCATACCCTTGGCTCCTTTGAATATCTCAGGGCTGGTCTCCACTATGGGGAGATCAACGCTGCTGCAATCGATGCAACAGGGATTGATTTAGCGGGTCTACTGAAGACCGGCTAAATCAATGGCAGAGCGCTCTCCCATCGACCCCGGTACTCCAGCTCTCCGAGAAGAGTAAGGGAAGTTGACCGGAGAGCATCTCCCATCGACTCAGCGTAGTGAAGACACTTTGGGAAGTCGACCTAAGCTAAGTTGACTCCAGCTACATTATTCACATAGTTGGAGTAGTGTGACTTAGGTCAACTTACCCTGGTAGTGAAAACAAGCCCTCAGCCTCTGACAGGGCAGAGGAACAGCCTTGGACAGCTCTTTTGGGCAAAAGGTGCACACATGGGTGTGTATATAGAAAGTAACACAAATAGAGGTGAGGTTCTGAAATTCAGTGGTTGAAACTTAACAGAGTTGATAAGAATAGCATCCCTTCGCTTGATTCCTGTCTTCCCTGCTTTTTTATTGCCTTCCTCAGTATAACTAAGATTTATTTTGCAGTTCTGATGACAGGGAAGTGACAAAATTAAGCTGGTGTAATACTTCCATTGATGTCAGTGCACTTGGTTTTATAATATTTCTTATGTTAACGAAAGGGAAACTGATTGTTAAAAGATGCCTCATAGCTTATTAATGTTCTTGTGTTTGTGCGACTGTGATCTAAGTTTTTATGAAAATTGTTGGAAGCAGCAGGAAGAACAAACTGGACCTGAAACCAAAACAAAATATCTGTCAGGAAGGCCAGCTCTTAATTGAAAACTAAATTTAATTTTAAAGGGAGCGCAAAATACTTGCCACTGTTAGCACAATATAAGAAACTTCAGTCCAGTTAACTGGAAAAGAGAAAGCAATCTTTAAAGGATCTTTGGTTAAATCTGCCTCTAAAAGTATTGCAAGTTGAATTCTTGATGTTATAAATCAACACTGAAATATTAATATGGTTAACCTTGGCCTGGAATCCTTTTGTGCTTATATTTTTTGAGTCAAAAGTTTCATAAAATAATGCTGTGGAGGTTTACATTTGGAGTTTGAGGACAGTCTGCAGGCTGGCTCCAAGAAGTCTGACTGTACTGAGTTATTCTAATGAGCTAGCTGAGGTAAAACTCTTCTGGTGCGACAGGAAATGCTTGCATATGACTCAGAACTACTTGGTGATTCCATTAAAAGTAACATTAATTAGCATATTTTTCTGATCATTTGAGCTGTTGCAAAAAATCACATAGCCTCCACTGGCTGTGCAGCCATGGTATCAGTTTTCTTCTGGATGGAGCCTGTACATTAGAAGGACAAATGAAATGGATCATCTCATTCCAGCCTCTCTTTGTTCAGATGGCAAAGCCACCATGCCGTTTGGCATAAGTGGAGGCTCCTCTTCAAGGGACGCCGAGGATGGAAATAAGGGTACAATTCAGCACCCACTGAAGTCAATGGGAAGACCCATTTATTTAAATTTGAGTTGTATTGGGCCATAGGAGGTGTAATACGGTCTTGGTTGAGATTCATTTGCATAGCAGCTTTTGGAAGCTTGTACAGCAACTACCTGTATCTCTGTCTCAAGACAACAATATTAGTACCTCCTTAATGTAATGTAAGCATTTGGGGAGCTACTCTAAGTTATGGCAACCTGCCTTGATTGCCTATAGGCATCTTTGCAACTTGGAGCTACCCAGCGTGGCCATAGTGGTTTGCGCTATGACCTCCCCCCCCCCTCCATTCCTGGTATATCCCTCCCACTCTTGGCACTCCTGCCAGAATGGGACTTGTTGTCCGACACAGTGCCTGGACTGAGGGGAATTCTCCCTCAGCCAGTAGAGAGCTTGTATTGCTCTTATGTAGTGGATAGTGGCATACAGGGCCCAAAGAATCCCTCCTATCCGAAATGCACAGTATTATGTTTCATTTGCCAATAGTCTGACAATCATACATTTTTTTTAAACTAGCAAAATTGTAAGGGAAATTTTATATCCGTTATATCCTTGAGAGTTGAAGTATGGGGAAAGTAAATTTTAGGGACTTACTAGGTTGACTGTTTGCTTTTTAGTGCTGTTGCAGTGCTGAGAAGACCAGCAAGGTGAAATGGGCAGAGCCCAGCCTTTAGCTTGGAACCACAAAAGCAAAGAGACTATAAGTCAAACTCCATATATAACTTTAATACAGTTTTTTTAATTGAAGTTGTTTTTTTAATGGTAGCATGAAAAAAATGGAAAGGGAGTAAGTGGGATTGGGGAATCTCATCATGCTTTGGGGTTCAATACTACCTCAGACAGAGTTAGACTGATCTGCTTAGATTTATCAGGATCATTTATGGTTCCAAGAAATCATTCACAGCACTCACCATAATAGCTCCCTTGCGTAATAGAAACAGTACTGGGATGGAGTTTATTATACAATCACAATAGCAAATTTGTGGTACATTTCCTTATAAAAAGTAGTTATTTGCCTGCGCAGTAGCTGATTTTTTTAACCTCAAAATCTTGCCATTTTATAACATGAGTAATTTTTATTTACTATTGTTTGCAATTTTTTAATATTAAAAGCTTCTAGTCCACATTATGGATTAATTACAACATTTAATTTAATAATAAGCAATTAAATGTCAGAAATGAGAATCTCTATATTTTTATACACATCATATTTATCTAATAAGTCTATTTGCAAATAAAATATAGAGACAAGAAAACCAAATAGTATAAACCAAACTAACTTTGCTTTTGCTTTTGAAAAATTATAATGTAGTTGTTTAGGACTGAAAAATATATTCAGCTGCCATTAGCCTGGGGAGAAAGATACCTGTGTGACAAAGCATCCAGAACAAAACTTCCTGAAATGTAATGTTGGGACTTCCAAAGGAAGTTAAGTGCCCAATTCTCATTGACTTTCAATAGTAGTTGAGCACCAAATTCTCTCAGACTGCTTTGAAAATGCTAGCCTACAGGAATAGAACAGTGGTATTAGATTTGATTGCCACATATTGACAATCACAATTTTATTTCCTATATTTTTCAAAATGTAACTTACTACGTCTCCCATGCTTTTATTCTACCTTCATCCCCTTGCTTGCTTCTCTCCACTTATTCCTCTCTTTATTTTCCTATAACAGACAATAATATATATTTTCCTGGGATGTTTTTAGTGTCAGTGTAGCCCGGTGGCTGCCACCTGTCTCTCCCTCTCCCTCAGCAGGGCCCCTTTTAAGCAGTCAAAAAAGTTCTAACTACATTCTCAGTCCACAGTCCTTTCATTTCTTCTTCACCAGGCTGGCAACAGAACTCATCAAACGCAAAACTCCAGAAGTCCAAAACAAACACAGTTTTATCTCAATTCCAACTCTACATCTGTTTCTTGGCTTTCCTAACCTTACTACCTCCTGCCTCTGTCAGTCTCAGGTACTTCTCTGAAGTGCGCGCGCACACAGACACAGACACACACACACACACACACTCCCTCCCTCCCTCCCCTGGCAGCTTCCTGCTGCTGTTTCTCTTGGATTACCCACTTCATCCCAGGTGAAATTTATTTTGTAATCCAGGCTGTCTTAGTCCAAGGCTCTCTAGCCCAGGGGCAAGCCACCCTGTTACAGTAAGACTCGTATTTTCCCCCTCTATTCCTTCTACTACCTTATATGTTTCTCCTTCTTTTCTTGCCATATATTGTCTTCTGTACCTCTTCCTCTATACTACTTCATCCCTCACTTCTCACAACACAAAAAACTTTCTCTTTCAAAATCCTATATCTTTTTTCTAATTTATCCCATCATGTTCTGTCCCTCCAACCTCCCACATCATCTCACCTGCCTTCTCATCCGCAGCCACCTGTTCAACATCTGCACACTCACACCTCACACAAGATTTGGCAAGTTGATCAGAAACACAATAGCCAGAGAATGAAATTAAGATGAAGGACAATTGTCTGGTTGAGAAACCACATATCATTCTCCAAACACCTGTAGAATTTGGGGGTCAAATAGTTCCTGTTAGCAGCAGTTCAGCAAGTCAGTACTCAACCCTTGCTGTTATATTTTGTGCTCCAGTGTCAAAGTTTCAATTAAAAAAAATTAAACATCTAGCCCCTTAGGCTGCAAAGATATACTTCAGCATATAAGCCAGATGTAAATCAGTGCTGCAATGTGTACCTGAGTCTCCAGACAGGCTGAAACACTATGGCTTTGAGATGTGTGAACTGCCCTATACATTGCATGGAGTGTTGACTCTGAACCCTAATTAAAACAATATAATATCAACATGCTGACTATTTTACTGCTACTCAAAACATGGAGGAAAGGAGAGTGACAATAATACACCTCTACCCCGATATAATGCGGTAAAGCAGTGCTCCGGGGGGGGGCGGGGCTGCGCACTCCGGCGGATCAAAGCAAGGTCGATATAACGCGGTTTCACCTATAACGCAGTAAGATTTTTTTGGCTCCCAAGGACAGCGTTATATCGGGGTAGAGGTGTATTATAGAATCATAGACATGTAGGACTAGTGCAGTCCCCTGCACTCAAGGCAGGACTATATAATAACTAGACCATTCCTGGCAGGTATTTCTCTAACATGTTCTTAAAAACCTCCATTGATGGAGATTCTACAACCTCGCTAGGCAGTTT